TTAGAGACAGGGTCTCACTCTGTTGCTAAGGCTAGAGTGCAGTGGCAGAATCATAACTCACTGCAACCTTAAACTCCTGGTCTCAAGTCATCCACCTGCCTCAGCCTCCCAAGTAGCTGGGACTACAGGTGTGCACCACTGTGCTCAGCTAATTTTTTAATGTTTTGTACAGACAGGGTCTTGTTATGTTGTCCAGGCTGGCCTCAAACTCCTGGCCACAGGCAATCCTTCTGCCTAATTTCTGGAGTATCTAAGACTATAGGCACTCACCACCACACCCAGCTAATTAAAAAAAAAATTTGTAGAGATGGGGGTCTCGCTATGTTGCCCAGGTTCATTTTGGATTATTTTCAAACTTTGGTTGTTATGAATAAAGACTTTAGTTGGATGTATGCTCTCATTTCTCTTGGGTAAATACTTAGGAATGCAATGGCTGTATCATAGTTTAAGTATAAATTTAGTTCTTTAACAAAGGCAAACTGGTTTTTTTTTGTTTGTTTTTTTAAACAAAAATAGAAAGGCTACAAACCGTTTTCAAAGTGGTTGGAAATCAGCAACAGATGAAGGTTCTAGGGACTCCACATCCTTGTCAGTCCTTAATTTTAGCCTGTTTAGTGGCTATGTGGAAGTTTTAATTTGTGTTTCCCCAATAAATATTAAAGCTAAGCATCTTTTCATGAGCTTATTGGTTATTTATCTTCTTTCACTAAGTATCCACGTTATGTTTTTGTTTTGGGTGGAGGGGAGAGACAGGGTTCTGCTCTGTTGCCTGGGCATGAAGGCTGTGGCAAGATCATAGCTCACTGCAACCTCAAACTCCTGGGCTCAAGGGATCGTCCTGCCTCCGTCTCACCTGTAGCTGGGACTACGGGCTTGCGCCACTACTTCTGGCTAATTTTTGTATTTTTTGTAAAGACAGGGGTCTCGCTATGTTGTTCAGGCTGGTTTTGAACTTCTGGCCACAAAAGATCCTCCCGCTTTGGTCTCCCAAAGTTAGCTGGGATTAGGAGTGTGCGCCTGGAAACAAAGTATCTGTCCTAATCCTTTGCCTTTTTTTCTTTTCTTTTTATTTATTTATTTATTAAAACAGAATCTCACTCTGCCGCCCTTGGCAGAGTGGGTAGAATGCAGTGACGTCATTGTAGCTCACTGCAACCTCAAACTCCTGGGCTCAAATGGTCCTCCTGACTTGGCCCCTCAGAGTGCTAGGATTACAGACATGATCCACCATGCCCTGATTCTTCTTCTCTCTCTTTTTTTTTTTTTTTTTTGAGACAGAGTCTCACTGTGTTGCCCTGGCTAGAGTGCCGTGGCGTCATCCTAGCTCACAGCAACCTCAGACTCCTGGGCTCAAGCGATCCTTCTGCCTCAGCCTCCCGAGTAGCTGGGACTACAGGCATGCGCCACCATGCCT